GCTCTAGTAATGCTTTACATGTCTCCTGTTCAATCTTATAGAGATTGTGCGGTCGAATCAATTCGTACCTTCATAAACTCAAGTAAGGTTAATTTGCACAATCCTATGCATGCCCAGTTTTGCCCTATAGTCATAGAGTTCTGTAAATTGTTGAATAAGGCTGTTGGGGTCAATGATTTTTTGTACAGTCATTGTCGGAGTAGCTTGGGGTCTATAGTGGAGTCTGTTGGCGAGTGTTTGATAGAAATGAATGACATTGTCCCATTCCTTAAGGAATTGGCAAGCAAATTATCAGAAGATTTAGGGCTGTGTGCGGGCTCAAACACTTTTGTGGGGCCATCAGCTAGTGAGGTGAATGATTTCATAGCCTTTATGCATCCAGTGAAGAATGTAATAGCTGATGAGGTGTCATGTTCTGGCCCGATTGATGTGTCATTGCAGGAGGAGGGAACTAGTGACAGTAGTGATCATTTGAAGCTTCGTGAATCATGCTATAAGAATGTGATCAAACTGTTGCATTTCATCTTCCTTGATTTGCTGGAGAAAATGGAGTACTGTTTGAAAAAAGTGGAAGAACGGTTGGAAGCTAGACAGAAAGGAGAAGCTGCTGAGTTCTTTGAGATTGGATGGTGCCAGTATTTAGCTATTCTGAAAGAATTGAATGGCATTGCCAACCTTTTCAAAGGTGCAAACGACATATTTTGGAAGATGTTGGTGCAGAAAAAGCTTTCTTTGTGCTATCTTGTTGTTAAGTTTGCAAAAAGAAGTGAGGACCATAGCTGGATTATGAAGCACAAGGAAGTAACTAATTTTGAGACGAGGAGGCATTTGGCGATGATGAAGCTTCCAGAGCTAAAAGATGAGTATGATGAGCTGCATGAAATGCTCATTGACAGGTCCCATCTGTTAGGAGAGTCTTTTGAGTACATTGTAAATGCGGACCCCGACTCCTTGCGTGGTGGTTTATTCATGGAATTCAAGAATGAAGAAGCTACAGGTCCGGGTGTTTTAAGGGAATGGTTTTTCTTGGTATGCCAGTCAATTTTCAATCCGCAGAATGCACTCTTTATTGCTTGTCCCAATGATCGTAGAAGGTTCCTTCCAAATCCAGGTACACTGTGTGTGATTCCTCTTAAATTCCTTCAATGCAACTAATTTTCTCGGCATTTGCAAATGTTCAAGTTATTCGCGGCTTAGTTTGCTGTGATTCTATCATATTTTTTTTACTGAGATTCTACCATTAAATTATACTAAGGTTTATTTTTTACCAATTCTGCAAATTTCTGGTCATTTACTGTACATTACAGAATGCTGAACTGCTCTTGTACACATTGCAGTTTTCAGAGAGGTGCACAAAGCTAATACATCCTTTTTTTGTTGAAAATTACGGAGTATAAATTCAATTCCATTTCATGACAATCAGTAACTTAGTGAATTTTCCTTCCTTTACGCCATTTTAATAAGCATGTCAGATTGTTATGCACATGTTTTACAGAAGCATTAGCTAGCTACTCCAGATCAGTAGAATATTCCACCACACTGGCAGTTTGACTTTCAGTTCTTGGTTACTTGGTTTAGATTAGTTATTATGTTTTTGTTTCAAGAGCTCATTTCCTACTTTTTTTTATTCCATTTACAATTCTCTTTTGTTTTTGCTAAGGATAACAAGTTGATATTACACGGGGCATCTGTTTATCAGAATGTGCATTCTCTTTGTCATTTTATTTCCTCGCAAAATGGTTAGATATTCTTGTGTCTTAGCCTCTTAGGATAGTTTGTCCAAATGCCAACGGTGCACCAAAGCCTAAGCGATATACCATAACTTCTCCTAGAAGAACACAGCAGAATGTCTCATTTCACAAAAATTGGCATGGATGGAAAATATGCAAGCATGATCCAACATGACAATATACTGTTTTAAAGCACTCCAGAATAAAAACATGAAAGGTCATTGAGTAGTTACAATACAAGCCTGTCAACCCAAATATCATAATCAGTTGTTCTATTAGTGTCTCCATCACCTGAATTATTCCCAATGTTATTTTCTTTATTGGAACACTCCCTGAAGGCAACGCCATTTTCTGCATTGACATACTCATAAACACCAACAAATGTAGGATGGTTCCAATTGCGTTGGGGTCTTTTGGGGGTGGGGATTAAGATGTACACAATGTTACCCTTGTAAAAACAGAGAGATTGTTTTCACTAGACCCTTGATGCATTGCTGCATTTTCTTTCCAAAAATAGAACGTCAGAAGCAAGGGAAGTTAAATTTTCCATTTTGATTTAGCTCATTTTACTTGAAGACGGAGTATAAAACATTGTCAAAAATGAATCTTTTAACTCCATTGGAAATGGACTGATCTTCATAGAATTCCTTAGATTCTTCATCACCAACTAGTATATGCTGAGAAACCCTAAGGGCCTAATGGGGTATATTGTGTGTTGTTATATATTTCTATTTGAAACAATTACAATAGTTACATCTTACTATAACATTGGCTCTCAATGTATTGCTTTCTCCCATCATAGATCTTTATTTCTTGAATTAGCACTGAACGTCTGACATGTCATCAGTTATGTATGAAAAATGTACTCTTTCCCAGTTATGTGTCCTATTTTTTTGCAATAGGTAAGACTCAAGTTAGTTACAATTCAAATTTCATACTCCTTCCATCCCATTTTTTGTGCATGCTTTTCTTTTTGGTACATTCCAATTTTTAGTATTGGCTTTTATTTATGTATTATGTGGTTCTTAATGTTTCTCTATAAGTATAAATCTCTACCACAGTTTTCACATTTGTAATTGCAATGCCCAGTCAAAATGGACATAACAAATTGGGAATTTGGGATGGAGCCACGGAGGGAGTAGTATCTTAATTAATACTATAAGTCCGAACAGGTTTTGTTTGTTTTCTTGATCGTCATCTTTCAGAATCAACCTTTCTACCACTTTAGGTGTGTGTGTTAGTATGTAGCCTACATATAACCGTACATACACCCTCACCTGACCCCACTTGTGCTACTTCACTTGGTTGTTCTTAAATTAATATAAGGTCCTAAAATTCATATTTTCAAAAGTTATGGACTACATCACAAGTTCTATTAGCCATGAGGTTGCATTTTGACCAACAGAGAAAATATGAAAAGAAAGAAGATGCACTTTGACCAATGATTAGTAATAACTGGTAAAATGGGATTGGTGATTAAAATGTAGTCTAATATGTAGTCATTAATAGTTAATACATGCATATGTTGAACAACATAGTCACTGCCATGGATATCAATTAGTACAACTAAAAGTTAACAAGTTCAACTATTATAAAAGTAAAATTTGGATACCTCACTCACTAGAGAGAAACAGAAGAAGCCACTGTTTGCTGCTGAGACAAGAGAGGAGGTTGCTTTTTCACAATAATCATTCTCTGTTGTCCTTATGTTTATCGCTGAGGGCTCAACACTAACTCTTTGAGACGGCCCTAGTCTGCTGAAATGGGTGGCTTTGCAAGAGTGAAAGGAATAAGGGGATATGATTTGGCTTAATTAGGGAACATGAAAAAATACAGGAAATAAGATAAAAACTACATTGTTTTGACTAAGCCTTGTATTCAAGCCATGCTCCTCTTTTTCAAAAAAAAAAAAATTGGGTACAAATCCAGGCATACAGACGCCAAATATGGGTCTTATTTCGCAAGTAGAGTACACAAGCTTCATTAGTGGCACATCACAACATATAATACAAAAGTCCTTTATTTTAAAAGCCCTTCATCATATCTTTTGTTTTCTTCTAATCAAATATGACTGACACATGCATTATGCACACACGTGGATCCATATTGTGCATGTGCGCATGCACACACACACATAAATGTTTTCTCTGTAGAAGCTTGTATTCCATGTAAATAATACTTTTAAATGTGATTTGAAATGCAGCATCTTCTGTGGACCCACTGCATCTTGAGTATTTTAGGTTCTCTGGCAGGGTGATTGCACTAGCTTTGATGCATAAAATACAAGTTGGTATTGTCTTTGATCGTGTATTCTTTTCTCAATTGGCCGGAAACAGTGTTTCTTTGGAAGATGTTAAAGATGCAGATCCTTTTTTGTATAAAAGCTGCAAGCAAATATTGGAAATGGATGCAGAACTAGTGGATCAAGACGTACTAGGTCTTACATTTGTCCGAGAAATCGAGGAATTAGGCTTGAGGAAGGTTGTTGAGCTTTGTGCCAATGGGCAAAATATCAGTGTAAATAGTAAGAATAGAAAGGAGTATGTTGATCTTCTCATTCGGCATTGTTTTGTCACCTCTATAGCAGAACAGGTAGCCCATTTTGCTAATGGTTTTGCAGACATCATTAGTAACTTGCGCATTCAAAAGTCATTTTTCCAGAACTTAGATCTTGAAGACCTTGATTGGATTCTTCATGGGAGTGAAACCTCCGTTTCTGTGGAAGACTGGAAAAGGCATACAGATTATTATGGCTTCATAGAAAGTGAACCTCAGATATCATGGTTCTGGAAGGTATGTGGTTGTGTCTCTCGTCTTTTTTTCTTTCACCGCTTACGCTATGTTTGGTTCGAGGAATTAGAAAGGAAAGGAAAGGAAAAAAACAGATCTTTCTCCTCCTCACCAAAATTGAAGGAAATTTTTCATATTTCATATCATTTTCTTTTCTTCTCTTTCAAATTCCTTGAACCATTCATACTAACATAGTACTCCCTCGGTCAACCAATTTAACTGCCTGCTTTAACTAAACACACAAGTTTAGGAAAAGTAAAATTTGTGTTGACTTTCTATTTTTGCCCTTAGGTAATTGAAAAAAAAGTGAAACAAAATGGGTAAGGATGGGTGCTAATTAATGGGTAAGGTTGAGGGTAGTATTGTCATTTAAAGAAAAGGTATTTGCTAAAGACGGAAATGAGAAGAATATTTATGAACGGGCAAATAAGGAAAATGGGAAAAAAATTATGAACGGAGGGGGTATTATATTTTCACCTCAAACTCATAAATATCAACAATAGTGTTTCATATATATTAACCCTTCACAACATGAATGAGCATGTTGGTCATATTCCAAATATGTGCATTCATTGTTGAGAAAGAAGTGAGTGTGGTGTGATGGAAATGACTTAATGATGCCAAAGGTTGTCCGGCCTTTTCATATTTAAATTGCTTAAAAATGAGTACACATTTGAAAGTCACTGTTTCTTCCTAATAATTTTACCTTACCAGATGAGAAGGTTAAGGACCACCTGATCA